TTTTTTTAAATTGAACAAATAAAATACATGGTTTTAACACTACCTGTGGCAGAAATCATTTCCATGAATGTAATTGCGTCTTTCTTGCTGGCAAAAAATTAACATTCTGTCAACTGGTCTGTATGTCAAAGTGCAACCCTATCCATGCCTACTCTTTGCTAAGCCTCAAGGAGTTAAACAGTGTCCATTCTGAGATTCATGGTTATAAGACTAGTTTCAAATTGTTTTTCTTTGTTTTAATTCAGCAGTACAGTACTTAAATGTCAAATATCAAAAGTGCTCTGTTCAAAACAACTGGTGCGTGCCTTTCCACTGGGCAATATTAGACTTAGCTACAGTGCCAGCTCCTAATTTGGAGGATCCCTTGGGAAGATGCCTTCCTCAAATATGATTATTCACCATTTGCACCAGTTGTCATTACCCTTGACTTGCCCTATCCTTGTGACTTCGTTTTGCCCAATTACCTAGGCAGAGAGTAACTGGGCAAAATAGGCAAGCTGGCCTTTGTTGGGAAAATGTAAACTAAGATGATAAAAAAGAGAGAGAGACCAATTGAGAAAGGGAGCGGAGGAGGAAATTTTCCTATGTACGCTTCGTATTTCTGAATTGGACTGCTGAATTATTGCACAGGATAATTTCCAGGTGAATTGTGATGAAGAATGAATAAATGCCCTCTTCCATCTCTGAGCTGTATTCTTTATTGACAAAGGAAAAATACACTTTGTTTGAGAAACTAGCACAAAATATCTCCTCATTTTCAGGCTTTAAAGCAATATGGTTTACAAAAGATTGAACATTATTATGATGATTTTAAATAAATATTTCTTAAATATGAAGGCCAGCAAAAAATCCGACCCCACCTCCTAGTGGTGCTGGCTGGATGACCAACCAATGGGGCAACAGTCTGCAATGATAAGTGGTGCAATACGCCAGCTGAGGTACGAACAGTTGTGTCAACCTGTCAAAACCACAAAGGTTTGAGGAATGCCCAAAACAAAGCCTTGTCGAAATGACAGGCAAAATGGACCCTATGAATCCATTCGACAAATGCTTAAACAGGAAGTGATTTTTTTTTTTTTGTGGACAATATAAAGTACTATATTCTACACGAATTTTAATTTTCATCAAGGTCAGACATATTACAAGATGAGACCGTTCTGCCTTTTAAATTGGTTTCTGAACCTGAAGGTATGTTCCTCAAATTAAGGGCATTTAAACATATTAGAAGATTAGCCCAAGGTGGGTGGAATACGCAGTATAAGTGACATAAGAAAAAACGTCAGTACTAACTTCAAAATTACTAGATCTTGATTTTTTTCATTAACTACATTGCTCCTTCATTATGCAAATCCTGTATTAAGTGTGAATGGTATCTGATGGTCTGGAGTAGGGCTGCCATATGTAAAGATATCTTACAAATATGAGTTTAGCTTCCATGTCATCATATTTCATTCTTCAACATTCTACCTATTCAGCCTGTTTAATGCTCAACGTGCTGAATCAGTGTTCTTAGAAAAATGTCTTTTCTATGAAGCAGATGTTGTCCTTCCCTACAGGCCCAGTTCACATGGCAAACAAAATGAAAACCAAAACCAGGTGGTTTGGTTTCCAAGTAAAGTAAATAAAAATTTAAAATTATTAGAAAGTAAAATTAAACAAAAAGAAAAATCTATTTAAGGGCATGAGATGCAAGTAGCAGTTATTATATTCTGTTTACATTACTGCTCCACTTCAGTGACTAGAATCAAACTACTGTCAGGTTTGTTTTAGAAATTCTTTTTATTTTGTTTATAAAGTCCAGTTTATTTATTTATTTATTGCTGTTATTACACTAAAAGTGTTTCACAGCAAATGCAAATCTACTAAGAAAAGTATCACATTCCTAACAACTTTCCATAACATTCACTATAAAAATGAATAATCAAAACTGTAACAACCTATTATGATTAAGAACTTAATCATTAATTTCAATAACTGACACAACAGTACTCACTTCCTAAGTTCCTGCAATCATTCTACCCCCTTAAATATTTATCTCCAGCAGTATAAACTGCTAAGCTTTCTGCTTCATTAAGTCAAATTAATAGTAAAGTAGGTCTCCTATTAACAGATTTATCCCCCATTAGTGGCATGCCTTGTTCTTTCACGGCAAATACTGTTCTGGAATCCTACGGAGGAAACTGGGACAGTAGCATGATAAGGCACATTGAGAGAAACAGCTTTTGAGATCCATCCACCTTGTTTCCCTAAAGCAGCTGAACAACTGTATTCAATTCTGTCATATTATGAAATTTTTTGGACGGCAGCTCCTTTGAACTACATCAACTAATCGTGACTTGTGTGATTCACAACAATATTAACAATACTGTGACTGCAGCATTATCAGATATTATTAATTTGATCAATAATAATTTTAATGATTTGTCCAGTAACATGTCCATAAATTGCCAGCTCCATTCTATTTTTTCAGTCTGCTGACAGAAAAATAGGGAAAGGGTCTTTCTGAAGGTATTTTGGTTGGGTATTCTGCATGAAGGCATTTCTCCTTTCCAGATATGCATGATAAATGACAGCTCCGCAGGTAAGTAAAATAACCATTCCAACACATTTCATATTGTATTAGAACAATCCAGGCTTCTCCCAATTCTAGTGCTATTTTCATCTGAGCATGAAGATATTTTCTGTCTCATGTACATTCAAATCTAGTACTAAATCCTACTTTAGTTCAATGAAGAATTCACCGGTCTGAAATAGGGTGTTCGCCAGAGTAGTGCCAATGAACTTTATTTTTTTTCTTTCAAAACTTCTTTGATAGGTGGGTTTTTCATATGTGAATATATTGGCCACTAATGGGAAGCTCATTTTTTCATAGTGGGAAGATATGTAGGCATTCAGTGAAGGAGGTGAGAAATCCATTACAAGTCTTTATAGCACTATATTCCCCTGAACCAGTCTCCTCCTGCTCTCAGAAAGCAAGGTTGGACCTCCTTAGGATTTTATAAGAGGCCATTGGGAATACCAGGAATCTTTAGGCAGAGCTAGGAAAGAATCCTTCATGAAGCTGTGAAGGCCAGCTGCTATTCAGAGTTGACAATACAAGGCCAAAGGGTAGTGTCCCACAATGCACAGTGACAAAACACATTAGATTGTCATCACTGCACCAACTGAACAGTGTACATATTACAAAACATTAGCAAAAGTTGCTGGTTGAAGCAGAAAGTGCTACTCTATCATATGCATTTACACTGTATGGCACCAGGACATTCAGACATGGTTTGGCATTACAAAAATAACCAGTTATGAGCCTTAGGCTTACATGATCCCTCCTCTCTCACAGAAGAGAAGATCCAAAGCTTCCATTCCCAGTTTGTGGCAAATCACATCCCATATGATCCAAACCCACACAATTATGGTTTATCTGCAAAACAAGCTCATAAAATACTGCAGGATTAAATTATCCTTGTTTGTATGAAAATTAGCTTATGCAAAGCATAACTGTCCCAGCTTGAACGAAATGACAAACCATGGTTTGTCACTAAATAAGAATGAAATTAAACATCTAATATTTCTTCTTTGCCAGTATAGCCATGGGATCTCTCCAGCAGTCCATGAGAAACTGATTGACTAGATTTGAATATACATGAGACAGAAAATGCTAGGATCAAGGCAGTGTATATGGTTCTCTTCACTCCCTATTGCAGTCTCACAACAATCCTGTGGAAGTAGGTTGGAGCAAGAGATAATTAATAGCCCGATGATCTTAAACGGCTGTGTGGGAATTTGAAGTTGGAGCATAAATTCAACTGTTAATTCCAGCTAGAACATGTATAGGTGGAACTCACAATTGGCCCAAGTCTCCCCTACTTTACTCTGATATTTTAATCATACTACATACCAGGGGTCCTCAAACTCAGGCCTGGGGGCCGAATACAGCCCTCCAAAGTCATTTAGCCTGCCTCGCTCAGGTTCAACCTAAGTCTGAAATGACTTGAAAGCACACAACAACAACAATCCTATCTCATCAGCCAAAAGCAGGCCCACACTTCCCATTGAAATACTAATAAGTTTATATTTGTTAAAATTGTTCTCCATTTTAATTATTGTATGATTTTAAGTGTTATTTGCACTACAAATATGATATGTGCAGTGTGGATAGGAATTAATTCAATTTTTTTTTCAAATTATAATCTGGCCCTCCAACAGTTTGAGGGAATGTGACCTGGCCCTCTGTTTAAAAAGTTTGAAGACCCCTGCTATAGACCATGTCTTATTAAACTTTTTCCACTCACAACCCCTTTCCACTCAATAATCTTTTGCGACTTCTTTCTACCCAAGAAATTAGGTATAAGGGTATAAAATCACACTTTTTTTTACTGATAATAAATTAGCATTTGGAAAGCTTGCTAAATAGGATGGTTTTTCTTATGGAATACAGTTCAAGCATTTTCTGCAGAGTCTGCTGTAAACACTGTATGTTGTTGTTAGCAGATTCATGTAAATATCTAGCTGGCATTCAGGAACCTTTTACTGTTGCCAAATGTTTTGTGATGCCAACACTGAGCTATAAAGGGACCCCATTTGAGGCTGGGATTTAAGAAGCAGTACTATAGACTATACAGATCAGAGATATAAATAGGACATCCCCCAAATCAGTTTTCATGTACTGTATTATAAATAATAGGATAATTTTTCCTCAAGACTAGAAAACATTATGGTTGAATACACTTTTGTAGAACAGATATCATTTTAAAATAAAACCACTGCATTTTCATATAATGCGCCTTATGCAGGAGAGCAGACATTACAGATCATAGACCAAATCCAAATCCTTTTTCCTCTGCATTGTCAGTGATTTGAAACCTAAAAACGGTAGAAAATGAATATGTAGATTTTATACAATTTAATAAAACAGGGAAATGCTTCTGTGAAGTACCACTCTCATTGCTCTTGTTCTCTTAGGTTCATAGCATTTTTATTAGTAGTATTTAAATGACACTTACTTTGTAATACGATCAATGTTAGCAATTTGCTTCTGATTTCGGATGATCTCTATAGCCGCCCAAAGATGCTGGATAGCTTTTGTATCTGCCTGCCGCCGTTTCGTTAAACGAGCCATGACCCTTTAATTTGTTTAACTGCAGTAGAGAAATGACAATCATGAATTACAAAACAGATATTATGATGGCTGGAACCTGTTACAAATAAGATTATACAGGAAAGCATATTAACTAAAGCGATTTGTACACAGTTACCTTTAAAGCACCATCAAACAATACTTGCACAGTTTCATTCTCTGGTATATAGATGGTCAATGCTAAATAGTCAGGGCCATTTCATTGTTCACATAGGAATCTGGAGATGTATTCTGCCACATGAACAAACGTTTCTCAAAAATACCCATGAATGAGAAAGCTAGTGCCATCTAGTGCCAAGATCTACCAAGTTATTGATTGCTGGTATTTTATCACAAAAAATACATATAATCACAAAATAAATAAGATAATTCAAGAGAGATGAAAAGGTGTGAAATATATGTGTCTTTCAACTTTAAAAACCCCACACAAACATTATTCTTCTACAAAGAAAACAAAAAGGTATCATGGTAATTAATAATAATAATAATAATAATTAAAAAGAACTTTATTTGTATTCTGCCCTATCTCCCCAAAGGGACTCAGGGTGAATTCCAATATGCAATGGCAAACATTTAATGCCTCCATAAAGCAAACAAATACCAACATTATAAACCCAGAAAAGCCCCACATATTAAAACAACATTAGAACCTAACATCAATAAATTAAACCAATCATAATCAAACAAGAATTATACAATGATGTAAAATCTGAACATAAAACATTCAAGGAGCCCCCGGTGGCACAGTGGGTTAAACCCCTGTGCCGGCAGGACTGGAGACCGACAGGTTGCAGGTTCAAATCCGGGGAGAGGTGGATGAGCTTCCTCTATCAGCTCCAACTCCTCATGCGGGGACATGAGAGAAACCTCCCACAAGGATGATAAAAACATCAAATCATCTGGGCATCCCCTGGGCAACGTCCTTGCAGACGGCCAATTCTCTCACACCAGAAGCGGCTTGCAGTTTCTCAAGTCGCTCTTGACACAACCCAAAAAATTAATAATAATAAAAAATAAAACATTCACATTAATTTACAAAAGTCAACTATTGTTCACAAGATTGTGTAGGTTGATTTTGTGGCCATAGTGGTTGTATGGCCAGTGATGGTAACCAGGCTAACATAGACTAGAGAAGGCTGAGTTCGAAATAGTTCTCAACCAGAGGTCCAGTAGTAATCTCTCAATGTCTAATTTTCCTCCTCTCTGTATGCTACTGAGCAAAAATGAGTCTTCAATTGTTTTTTGAAGGAGAGGAAGGAGGATAGACAGACATCCCTAAATCTATCTTATACCCCCAAACCAAGATCTGTTTGAACACACATGAAAAAAACAGCATTTTACAATTGTGGCAACCACAAAATACTCCTGCACCAAAATCAAGGATTCGATTTTGTGGAAAAATGCAGAGTTTGAAGGGATTAAAATTGAGCTTGATGCTCAGACTCAAGACAATAAACACAAGATGAAATGTCTGTAGCTTAGGTATATTTGTGCCCAATGCCTACAACTATCACTGGCAACATTGCCAGCTTGTGGTTCAGAGACTGGCACTAGTTCAAGGGCCACATTTTGATTAGCACTGATTTATAAACTGTCCAACCTTCTCTCTTAGGCTCTCCTAAACAGAAAGCTTTACCTTGGGCAACTATATTGTCTTCACTGCACACCTACACAATCACCTGAAAATAGATGAAATGTTTAAAGCTGAGATTACTAGCTATCATATTTAGGCATTCCCTTAGTTACACACATCCAACTTGCAAATGAGCAGGGGTAAGACAACAGGAAGTGAGAGAAATCTACCCCTAGGACGGGAAATTCACTCCTGAAAGAGTTATCATGGACGAAGGGTGTCTCCACTGAAGCTTGATCATCAATCCTTGGTCCCACAACAAGCCAAATGTTTCAAAATCCAATTATCAAAATCCAATTATCACAAGGACAGAAAGTGAGGTGAAATCTTCTGAATAGATAGCAAAACAGACACCATAGGGGTGTTCATCCCTACGCTATCCAAAGCTAAAATTCTGGGCTGGACTTCTACTTACAAAATGTACCTGTTCTGACTTACATACAAATTCAACTTAAGAACAAACCTACAGAACCTATTTTGTTCATAACTTGGGTGACTGCCTGTAATTACATTTGTTACTTTCTTTCTCCAGTTTCGAAGGGGTGGTAGTTTTTTGTTTAATAGAAGAAATGCCCATTCACATCTGGTTTTCTGAAACAAAACATAATAGCAGCTGTTTACCTACACTGTGGGCAGCAAGACTTGGGGCAAGGGCAAAGCAGAAGACTAGGAGGGGAGATAGCAGCTGTCTAGTTATTTATGTTTCGCTAGTGCTATTTATGTTTGTCTCCTCTTCCCCAAACAACTATTGTATCTAGACATCCAAACTAGTCATGACAGTAAACACATTACTGCTTCTCGTTTGTCTTTTCCCACTCCTCCATAATATGTATCACTACAGAAAAAAACAATACTGTCAGCTGGAAATAACATGTTTAAAAGGTTTTATAGGGAAAGAAGTGAAGTTCTGTAAGCTGTAGTTTAGATTTAAACAATTCCTTGTAAAAGAAAATGGAATAACCAGGAGATTGACTATGGTATCTTAAAACACCATCTCTGTTCTGTTTCTCAGTTTACTAAAATTTCAGAATATTATGTAAAATCCAGTCCAGCTCCAGTAGAAACAGAGACAGCTGCATTCTCACCTAACTTCCTCCACTGAAGAAATTGAGAATTTTTGCTTGCCATTTTTTTTACTCCAGCTAAATGAACATCACTTCTAAACCAACACAAATTGTGATTACTCTTAATTATGGTATACTGAAATATGCTGACTCAAACCACGGTGTGCTTAACTAAATATGGAAGTGAACTTTAGGATTCCAACCTTCAAATCATCCCTGAAAAAAAGGAAGACATCTTGGAATACATGAGTGCAATATTAATGCATGAGCCAATGAAAGCAGGAATGATAATTATGTATGCATGCAATCATAATGGTACTTCCATTGGGAATGTTTGTATCTAAATCATGAACTCACTAGAAGATTTTTCTGTACTGTTACTTCCACATTAAGAGAAATCTTTGAATCATTAGGAATACTAACTAAAGTAAATGGCAAAAGATTTCCTCGTCGAAAGAGATGTTATACCTTTTAGCATCCCTCATTATCCATCCTCACTGTCCCTCCAAAACATATGGAAATTATACAAAATAGTTAGAACTCTCCCTTTTTAAAATCTAGGTCCCATCCAATTAACCAGAAACAATAATATAGCAAGCACTGGTATTGTTTACATAATATTCTGGAAGCAGTCGGATAAAGCTACATACAGGCTGTAAATGGTCTATGATGCTACATAACAGGTTAGAATCCCACCTTTAAAACAGATTAATGATGCATTTTGATCACTACATAACTTTGTTTTAATTGTGTCACTTTTAGAGTAAGAACCACACAACAGCAGACATTAACATATATGGGCAGCCGCTGAGTGACAAATATCCAACTTACAAACAACTCATAGTTGAGAATGGTGGGACAACAGAAAGTGAAACAATTCTACCTTTTGGAAGGGAAATTCACTCCTGAAAGAGTTACCATGGAGAAAAGGTATCTCAACTGAAGTTTTATCATCATTCCTTGTTTCCATAACATGTCAAAAAATTCAAAATCCTATTATCACAGGGACAGTAAACGAAATGAAATCTTCTGAACAGACACAGACAGCAAAACAAATATTTGGCTGGAGTTCCCCTTAAAAATTTAATTGTTCTATCTTACATACAAATTCAACTTAAGAGCAAACCTAAAGAACCTATCTTGTTGCTAACTTGGGGACTGCTTGTATGCAATTTAGACTAGGTACCTGTGTCCTTCAAATGAATCTCTCTAATGTAATATTATAATGCTCTAATCAGACAAGAAGTTTATGTGGGGTTGGTACTTAACATAATTCATTCTAGGATGGCCCAGAGGACCAATCCACATACCTTTGAGTTATTTCCCACATGTCATCAAATGATACATCATTCTAAAGTACAAAGTCCTTTTCTTTTTTTAACAATTGGCTCCTTATCTTTCTGCAGCAGTTTCTTTATAGCCTTGCCTTAAGACAACCAATCTACGTGTTTTATTCTATTTAATTTTGTTTATTTCATTTTAGTATGAAGCCACATTTGGGTGAGGTTGGAGTGTTACTCTGTGCCATCCAACAAAAATACTTCATAGTAAGTACCAACTACTCATTCTCTGGATGACATGCAGGAGCCATTCACACACTATTGGGACGTATTCAAACCTCCTCCTTGGATGCCTCTCACTACATAACTGATTGCAGGAATGTTCACTCAAAAGCTGCCTGTGCTGACTTATACTTATTTTATGTCATTGAATGTGGATAACTCCTTCCATCCAGCCTCCTTACAAACATCCTTTAGTGATGCTAAAACAACATAGGCTGAACTTCTTGATACAGAACACGTAGCATTTTGTGGTCTTAGAATCTTTGCCAAGTCATACCATAGAAATATGCATGCCTTTAACCAACTGGCAATCAATATTGTTGATGGCTTGCTGATCAAAGTCTTTGAGTTGAAAGAGACACAACACTTATTTTCCTGGTTTCTAACAGCTTGCCTCACACCCAACCTATGCTATTTTATTTCAAGTGAGCTAGTGTCAGCCAAAAGTTTAGTAAATGAATGAACTGGTGAAGTTTTTTAAGCAGGAGACACTTTGAAAGAGACACTTTGGAAGAAAAGTTGGATCAAACGTCAAGGTCAAACTGCCCTGATCCCATTTACAGAAAATTGCAATCTCAATAAGATTGCAGGTAGTTTGAAACAGCAGATTTGTTAAAATGTTCAGCATGAAATTCAAATCTCATCTAGGAAAACCTATGCAAAGTTGGTGGAGCTTGCAAAAGCTACACCTCTTTAAAACCTCTTTGCACAGATAGACGCATCATGTCTGGCATAACCTTTA